ACTTTTTACTGAGTTTCCACTAATAATAAACTGCTGTCATTTGCATAGGATTGTGCTTCCTGAAAATCTACAGCTCTTTTGTTTGCTAGATCCACCTTGTTTCCTGATAAGGCTAGTTAGGACTTGCTTCCTCTGGAGTTCTTTAACCCCATGTTTTGCTCTTGCAAAAGATTCCTCATTGGTGGCACCAAATACAACCTAAGCTGCTGTTGCACACTAGTGCCGGGCCATGGCATCTCTCTTGACCAGCTGTAGCCCATATTTAAACTTCACTGTTGTGTCATCAAGACACAGCTTGGGTTGGAAAAGCAGCCTCAACGGAACTTTCTTGAAATTCATGACACCGGCCTTTCACAAAAGAAAGCAATAGGCTTGATCTGCCGACAGCACACTCTCCGGGAAGTACTACTTTGAGCTGGCAACTTTAACTTCCAGTATTTGGCCCGTGAAGTGTTACTGTTCCTCGATTAGCCATGTTCAACTTGGAAAGAAGTCTCTCATTTCAGACTCCTAAATGAACCGCCAGGATGCAAGGCATCATTTTTGTTTTCTTCCTGGAAGTAAAGAAATCTGAGCCTGCACTGTGTGGTCCAAAGAATGAATGAGCCCAGATCTACAGCAGGCTCTCCTCCTTCCAGTGTCTCCTCCTTGCGCTGCTCCCTACACACTAAAAATTACAATATTTTAAATGTCAATTTAAAAATAGGCCTGAGAATACAGATAGCTCAGTGGGTGCCTACCCTGTGTGAGGCCCTGAGTTCCATCCACAGCAACACAGAAACATAAAAAATAAGGTAGGTAAGAAAACTATGATAAAATGAGAGTAAAAGCGGACTGAAGATGGCACTAAACATCAGTGCACAAATGCCTGTCCAGCTGGCCCACACCCTCAAAAAGACAACACACAAGCACTTCGAATGCCCACAGGTAAGAACAAACTTGTTTTCTTGGGTCTCTTGTAGGGAGAAAACTTCACAGTGCTGTGGAGTTTCTACCTCTGCGATGTTTCTTTGTTCGTTTTGGTACTTCCTGAGGGCGTCTCACTATGTAGTTCAGGCTGGCCTCAAACTCCTTGAGGTCCTCCTGCTTCAGCCTCCCATGTGCTGGGATAAGGGCCTGCACCACCACATCCAGCTCGTTAGCCACTTTTAGGAGGGGAAAAAAGTTATCTGTACAGCAAAATTCAGATCGCATATGACACACACAAGAAGATTATCTCCTTACTCAAAAGTAATGCACTTTCCTTCATTTTTCTGGAACCAAGTGGTACTTGGTGTATACCTTTCATTATTCCTCTTTTGTTAGAAATGGTGACAGCAGGGGCCGGGGAGATGGCTCAGTGGAATAAGTGCTTCCCCGGCAAGCACAAGGGTCTGAGTTCAATCCCCGGCTCCACAAAAAAAAAAAGAAAAAGAAAAGAAACAGAAATGGTGACAGAGGTTTCTGTTCTATAAGAAATCCACAGTGCAATTTCTCTGACAAGTGGCAGGTGACCCTGGGGTCCAGGGCTGAGGCGACAGGAGGAGTGCGAAGAGCACAGCAGACTGAAAAGCACAGCCTCCCGAGGACGATGAGCACCACCTTGACAGGGGTGGCCATATCATCCTTTTTTCAAAAGCCAAAAGCTCAGACTTTATGCAAAACCTCTTGATTTTAAATGTTAGCTCAAAATGAAACATAAAAGCTTTTAAACACAATACAAAAATAATAATCATCATAATCATAATCATAATAACCTACCTCTTATTCACTGCTAGCTTAAGACCTCTGGGTTTGAGGATGAAATGGACTTCACACCTCTGGGGCAACCGCACAACTCTTCACTTTCTCCTGATTAATTTTCTGAAACTCTGGACCCACCCCCAGATTTAGGACTACACCTCACAGTAAGCACCGCCCCTCTGGGCTACATGTGCTTGCGCCCCTCCTCTCCCTGTGGCCCTGCTCCCTCGCCCTACAGCTCTGAGCGCCCTCTCCAGGACTCTAAGCGCATGAAGGAGACCTGCTGTGGCAGTGAGCACACGTGGTGTGGGCAGAGCCAGAAGATGTTTCTGCTCTGGGCTTGCTCCCTCCTGCTGCTCTCTGAACACTGCCACCACTGAACCAAGTTCAGAGAACCCCACCAGAGGGCAGGAGGCCACATGAATTGATGCCGGGACCCAGAAAGGCCATCCTAAACCAGCCACCCCAGATACCCAGCAGCTAACCACACACCCGAGCGACACTGAGGCCAGCAGAGGCGGCCGGTGCCACAAGATGCAGCTGATCCGCAGGGCGATGGGCTAAACAACAGTGTGAGCAGTGCAGCTACCGGCCAAGCCCAAGATAGTGGATATATGTCTCATTCTTATCAAGAGAGCACTACAAAAGCACTTGGAGTTCATCCAGGAGGGCTTTTCTCTGGAGAATCGCTTTTCTCTTATCCAGTCACTAGCATCACCTTACACATTCTTCCCACTTTCTTGAATTGGTCTCAGTTAACACAAGCATAAAGCACTGAGACTGTGCGACAGCCTCCCCTGTTGCCCTCCCAACCAGCAACCAACAGAGACCTGCATGACGCTGGCTCTCTCAGGCCCCTCCTGTGAAATCTCCCGGCAGGAAGAGAACGGCCACCCAGGAGCCACTTGCCTTGCACAGAAGAGAGGCTGAGCCGCCCTGGCACAAGGACTCTGAAAAGGCCACCAGGCAGGATGCCTGCATGTGGGTCATGGGAAGATCAGGTGACAAAGCCAAAAAGCTCCACAAAAGATGACAGAGTATGGGAAAAATTGCAGGAAAAAAATGTTTCTCAATTTTAAAAAGTTAAAAGCACAATAAGCCACCCAACCACCAGGCAGCATCATGAAAATGCCTTAAAAATGACTGCAAGAGGATCACCTAGCAGCTGAACTGTAGGAGCTGATGTGCGGCGTACAGTGGCACCGAGAACATCGGGGAACTTCGAAGTTCACAACCTCTGTACGACCTTCATCTATGGCCTCTTTTTCTCTGTAAGAAAGATATCAAAGACAACTGCTATTTGGTCCTTATTAATTAACAGAAATAACGCTCTCTCTACCTAAAGAACTATTTTTCTGTTTTCTCTTGGGCCATAAAGAGAGTCTTTAGCTCATATTAGAGAAGTGTACAGTCATGCATAGGAGATGATAGAAAAGAAAGTGACACAATGATTTACATATAGTGACAGTTAAATATTTGTTTAAATTACTACAGTAAAAGACACACTGCCGAGAATCCCCCAAAATACTCCCTCTGGCCTTGAACACACTTCTCCCATAGTTCTTGACACTTTCTGAAGCAGGGCTGGAAGTGTGCTTTTCTGTCTGTACAAACTATGATCAAAAATATGGTGACCACCGATGCTGAGTGCCACCAACAAAAAGGTGGGTATAAAAACACGGCACTGCATTTTCACCCACCTTATTCACAGACGTGGTGTCCAAACCATGAGGCCATATATTCTTTTTACGTGCTTTTTTTTTAAGCCCAGAAAAGAACTTAAAAATCATGCCACCTATCTTTTATAACTAATCTCTAAACCATTAAATCAGGACCTTCTGGGAGCTTTAAACATCCAAAAATGCGCTGGTGACATAACTGTTGTAGAGTGTCTACCATGCTCTAGGCCAGCACTATCAAAAACACCAACGTCCCTTTCTTTCAATATTGTTCCTCGAAGAACTAATCCTTCCATTTTTAAAACTGTCTGTCCAGGTTCGGAGCAACTGGCCTCTGACCACAGCCACGTGGCAGCACTCCCTCTGAGTCACCTCATCTCCCCCCACCTCCCAAACCTGCTCCCTCCCAACACAATTCCGGCTGGGGATGGCTAGTATTCTCATTTAATTACTTAGCCTTCCTCTGCAACCGTCTCACACACAAGCTTTTGCCCATCTTATCTATTACACTTCAACTGTGCCTTTTTTTTTTTTAAGATTCCTCATTATCTTGCTTCCCATTCATAGCTCTTATCGAAACAAACATAATGACCTCCTATCCACATTCCCGCATCCTCTGTGTCCCATTTTGTACCCTGCTAGGAGCTTCATAGGCAAAAACCAAGCTTTCTAAACAATAGCAATGGGCCAGGCATGTTGGTGCAAGTGTGTAATGCCAGCACTAAGCAGGCTGAGGCAGAAAGATTGCCTCGAGTTCAAGGCTAGCCTGGGCTACTTACAGCCTGAATTACAGAGCAAGACCCTGACTCAAAAATTTAAAAAAAATAAAATAAATAACAGCACCAGAAGTCTATTCTATAGTCTGTTCCCTAACTTTCCAGTTTGATTTCCAGCCGTCAGTCTCTTATGCATACTCTGTGGTCTACGTGACTTATATTTACATAATGACTATGACAAATACCCTAACACCATGTCTTTCTCAAGAGGTTCCTTATTTTAAAAAACAATAATTACAGTTTTCTAAATGCTTATGTACCAATCCTAGCCATGTTTTGTTTTTTCATTTATTTTTTATTTTTTATTTTTGTAGTACCAGGGATTGAACTCAGGACCCCGCACTTGCCAGGCAGGTGCTTATTCTACTGAGCTATCTCCCTGGCCCCCTTTTTTCTGATTTTTTGAGACAAGATCTCACTATGCAGCACAAACTGACCTCAAACTCTCAGCAACTGTTCTGCCTCAGCCTCCTGAGGACTGGCACTATAGACATGAATCACCATGCCCAGCTCCAGCCACGCTTTACATCTAAATTTAATGACAATTTCTCTGGAAAGTTACTTGTTTCTCACAAGAAAAAGGGGGGTTACATCTTCTTTTGAATCCCCCAGTAATGTTTTGTGCCTGTTTTCTCTTTTTACTAAGATTATGCTCCCATTAGAGTGGATTTAGACAAGCCAAACCACGCCCCCTCTCAAAACTCCACATCTGCACATAGTAAGGAAATACACACTCCGAGAATATATAAAAGCCAGTCAGTTTTACTGCGGCCAAGCACAGACCTGAGCGCCGAGCTCGACACACTGGACCACTCCGACTCACCTGATTTCCACAGGGAACTGAGCGTTGGTGACAAGGAAGCTGGAGATTTTACAGCAGTGGAGAAGCTGCAGGAACCTGTTGATTTCTGGGTACATTATAGGCTCTCCCACAAGGGACAAGGCGCAGTGCTTCACCTGCAGTCCTTCCTCAAAGCGCGCTGCTTTGACACCTGGTACCCCTAGAGGGCAAAGAAAGAGAAACAGGCTACACATGGTACAGAAAGAGGAGATCAGTTACATTTTGCTTGCTGATTCTTTGATTTTGAAGGCAAATTCATTTTCTGATGCCAAAGAATACAAAAGTAGGAACTAGAAATACTAAATCAGAACGATCAGTCAATAACTGATTTTTAGTTTTAGAATGCAGTGAACTACACCAGTTAATCCAATCAGGGAAAGCAAAACTTAACTCAGGTGGCCAACTACCTAGACAGCAGGCTACATCATTTCCCATGATTTCTTAGTTCTGCTGTCTTTCATGTTGCCTAGGAAAGGAGGCCCACGATCTCCACCTGGAGAAGGGCCTCTGCTACACAATCCCCTGCCCACGCATTCCCAGGACTCTGCACTGGGAAGCTGAGAGGACTTGGCCAAGCAAGCTACAGAGAAGAAGAGACTGCAAGTTCACTTCTTTGACTTTACCCTGGAATCACTAGGAAACTAGTGATTATTCTACTGAGCTATCAAAGCCCTGGGTCCACTGCCACCAATTCTGCCTCATCGGAGTGTGCAGGCCTCACAGCAAAGGCTTATAAGATCTTCAGATAACCTGGCGGTGCCTGCCTATAGTCCCCACTACTGGAAAGGGCAAGGCCTGCTGGAGTCCAGAAGTTAATGAGACGCTTTTCTCAAAGCAAAAGGGAAAAGAAAGCAAACAACAACAAAAACCCAGTTCTGGAAGTGGTTCTAATGTACAAAGAAAGCTGAAAACTACCACAGAAACTCCAGGACCCCAAACTTGCCTGCACATTAAACTCACTGGGGCATTTAAATTTTTCCAAAATCTAGGCCACAGCCCAGAGCAAGGAAAGTACATACACTCTCTGGCACCAACAGGCGATGTCCAGGGGCTCCATGAGCAGACCAGCTTGGAACTGCTCACACACAACAGTGTCCCAAGCCCAGCTAGACTGGAACTGCTCTGACAATGCCAGTGTCCAGGCTGTTCCCTAAAGCAATGAGTCGTAGCCTCTGAGGACAGGCCTCAGGCTTGTGCTCCCTCATGATTCCAGCAGTGCACAACAGGGTGTGTGGCAAGCACAGCTCTCTTCCAGATGGAGAGGACACCATGAGAAGCTGTCTCAAAAAAAACACCCTACACTATCAAGTCAATACTACATGGAACAGGCTAAAAGCAGAGCCGTCATTGCTATTTGTTTATCAATAAAATTATGAAAAAAAAATCTTAATGAATAGAGTAATTTGTTCTAATGATGTTTGTAAATAGGATATCATGTCCGCATCTTGTACAGCAATTAACCACTAGGAAGAATGTTTGCAATGTGTTAACTATTGAAACTGTCTTAACAATTTGAATTGAAGCTGTCTCATTGCTATTTGTTTATCAATAAAATTATGGAAAAAAAATTAAAAAATAAAATAAAACCAGAGCCATCTACAAATAACAAGTAATATCTTCTGATGACTGTCTAACTGCAAATTCTAAGAATGTATTTTACATCAGCTTTATTTTTTAAAATATATGGTACAGGGCTGGAGAGATGGCTCAGTGGTCTAAAGCACCTATTTGGAACAAGCTTGACAAGGCATCAGGGAGCGGTTCAATCCCCCAGCACCACATGCCAGCCAGCCCCGACCCCTGGTGGGCTGAGCTGGCCACACACACCTCTCTCTCTCTGGCGCCGGAGCTGGAGAAGCAGGATTGGCGCGC